AGGGGATGTTACTAATATTAAGTCATCTCATAATCAATGTCGTTAACTAAGTTCTAGTAGGAGCTAATTAATATTAATATCTTATGACATCTTTCTTATTAATTACGATTAATGTTAATTACATCGTACTAGTTATTCTGTAAGCTAATAAAAAGCCCTTATAATTGCAGAGAACATTACCGAGAAAGCCGTCGATAAAAAGAAATGTATCGTGTCGATCTAAAACGAATGCGAGCAGCACACCCAAAGCGTTCGGCCGCGAGACAATGCTATGATAATTTATTCGTAGGATATAAACTTTTTATAAGATCCACCATGTAATCCATCATGCTTCGTCAAATTGGTACAAGCGCCTTTGTATGTCGGCGGCAACATGCACATAGCCGTCTTTTTATTCTTCGACCGTTCCTTTTCACAAAAGCACTGGTCTCGTGCGTGAAGATCGCGATGCGCGAGCCACGTTCATGTAACCGCAGGAAACAATTTGTAATAGTGTTGGAGGGGGATTTCGTGTTAAGAATAAATTTACATGTAATCGCGAGGCATTCTTACAAATGCAACTTTGTATCAGGCTATATATATAATTTTAACATCGTTTTGCAATTTTCTACAGACCGAGCTTGTAACACCATGATTACGCGATTATTCATTTCTGGTGCAGTGAACTTGTCTTACAAATTGGTCTTCTTGACATTTCATGAATTATTTGTCTGTTAACAATGGAATAATTAACGTCAAATTTATACCTAATTTTATCACATTCATCGGTCGGAAGAAGATTTGAAATGTTTTATTTGTTACGTAAACTTCTCTGTTTTCAACAACAAATAAATCTTTTTAACCGAATATTATTCTTGTTAATTAATTATTTAAAAAGTTACATCCTGCAGTGAAAACGGCCACGTGCAATACGTCATGGGATAATTAGAATTATTCAGATTACGATCGGTTTACTTTTTAATTTAAACTTTCTACTTGGTACATTGCGTAATTAATGATATTTAAAATTAAAAATTTTAATTAAAAAATAAAAATTAATTTCAACTTGAAAGAGATATATAAATAAATTTCAATGGTGATATTTATGTTAAAATTTGAAAGGATTCGAATACGGTGAATAAAATATTATAGGATAAAGACATTCCTTTAACCCTCGTTTCGAAGGCGTTCGTTATTCTTCATTTTCTCTTACTAAATTTTAAAGAATAGTGTGACGCCCATGGAATTTGTGCTTTCTTTTGTCGAGCGACTCATTAATCACACAATGCCGTACGTCGAGTAGACTCGATCGATCGACGTCGAGATAGTCGCGTAATGAGCTTCGGTGCTCTTGTTAGCCTGGGCTGCTGCTTTGTAAAACGAACTTATTATTGCAGAACCGAATTAATTTCCTACAACCAACGATGCAGTGGAACGAATAAGTGCACTGTAAATTGCCTTCGATTCCAACGACCACTCCCCAATATTCCTTTCTTTCTTCATAAACGAGAACAAACAAAAAAAAGTTGCCCAAGTGAAACTCGAAATGTTCAGCGTTATTTAAATAAATTTTTATTTGAACAATGATTCAGAATTATTTCAAAATCATTTTTACTAAGAATGTAAGACTGCGAATAGTTAAATTATTTGAATAATACAAATAATTGAAAGTATTCGAATTATGGACATTTAAATAATTGCTTATTCAAAATTCAAAAAATTGAGAAGAAATTTCAAATACAAATTTTAGGGTCAACTTTAATTCATACCTACGTTATTTACGAAACAAATTTAATTGTTTGTTACTCTTTCTTTATTTAAAATGATTGTTTTCGATTAGCTTTAAAAAAAGCTTTGTATTAGCATTCTTGCACTAAAGAATGCATTTTTAAGCCTCAATCCTGAAAATTTGAGTTCCTAATTTTAATCGATACATTTTCTTAGGTTTAGATTGTAATTGACTCAGCTACGTTGGTGTAAAAGTTAATTATAGAATTCACCTTTTGTGAAAAAGGAAAACATACATATTCAATATACAAAATCTGTTTCTCATAAATTTTAATTTTTTTGTTTTTAATTATCCCATACATAATATAATAATATTATGCGCGTCATGCAATGTTCACATTTTTTGTAACTAAACATGAAATATACATTATCTTAAAGCTTTCTTCATGAGCATATACCACTGACCAAAAAAATACTGACACCTTTATTGTGAACGTTAAAAATGAAAGGTACAAAAATTCATTTTTGTCAAAAAATACACCTAGAGGACTATTTAGTTTTAAGAGTTGGTAATGAGGATAATTTGAAAAGCATGAATTTTTCAATAATTTCCTTTATACGATTTTCTAAAAATAAAGAAATGACGTAACTTTTGTTTAAACCTTTTGTCTAAAAATTCAGCGTTTTTTCAAGAGTTAATTTCATCCCCCAGAACAAAAAATAGATTTGTGTTACGGATGGACTGTTCTACTTGCAAAGTTTTCTAATTTTTTGTATTTCCTCGTTCCTAACTTCCCCTGTTAGTAGTTGCAACATTTTTTATTTTACAATAAAATAAAATGGCGTAAATGAACTTTGATAACAAAGTTTGTTAATCATTAATTCTCGGACTCCACTTAAAAAAGTAAAATATTTATATGTGATCTTACTTCAAAGACTAAAAGAGTTACAACTATAAAATAAAATAAAATTCGAAATAATATTTCACATAATGTCGTTAAAAAAGTTGTCAACTTCAATTCCTTCGATAACAATAAAAAAAAATAAATTCAAGCCTAACATGTCGACTGCTGAATAATTACACGTCATCGAATGCAATCAATATTTTGAATAGAATTTTTCAAAGATCCATAATCGATCATAATCATCGTGTATATCAATTTCTGTAACGATCGAAAAATGTTTATCGCTCGATCGTTATCAGAAGAATGCTCTTAAAGAGACCGGCGATGACAGGTTTTTTGCTTTTTCCGATTAGAAAAAGCAAAAAGGCGAAAAAGAAGTTCGCGGATACGCCGACATTTTAAAAAGGTTTTAACGAGCGAACCTTCGTCAAGCGTCGATACGAAACACGACGTAGAGTGGATCGCGGCAAGCTAGACGCGCACGGTACTCTGCGGCCGCCGCGACGCCAAGTAATTAAATGCAGAGAAGGGGAAGCGAAGGGCTGGTCAGGATGGTGGGCTTCCAGGGTAAGGGAGGGAAGAAGGTAGCGAGGGCGTTCCTGAAGCCACTCCCCGAAGTCCTACGGGACTGAAACCCGACTTTCAAACCACGGCATGCCTGAATAAAGTATTCTTCCAACCAAATTTAAATTTTCCTTTAGAACTTGGACTTATCAATAATTTATCAATAATATTAGGTACACAAATTAATTCTGTGCCTTTTCCCTTTCTTTTCAATTGGAGATTTATTTCTAAAATGTCATTCTAACTCTAATTATTCAAGTTGTTATATCTTCGCGCCACTTTTCAAATACACAGAAGCGCGGGAAAATATTCAAATTTAAAATGTTAATTACTAACATAGACAGCGATATATGCGATATAAATTGGGTCAAAATGACCATCAGTGTTAGAGCTTCCCTTAAAAATTGAATTTTACATTTGCTACTAATGCAATCTGACAATGAAATATAAAATGCGTTCTGCATTTGCTATAGCCATCCACTTCGTTTATCGTTATTCTCTTAGCTACGACATAAAATGTCTCGATGAATTTCGCTTGTATGTCACTTGACATTCTTCACCGGTACGTATCTTTTTGCATTATGCAACAATTCTCTGCTTAATTGAAATTCGTTCTGATGCACTCGATGCATCATTCTTTTAAGAAATTTAATGCAACTGCAACACGGAAAGGTTAACATGTTTGTTACCGACTGACTCTGTTTCTTGAGCCGAGCATCACTTATGACAGCGATCATTTTTTATTTTATAGTTACATGATCAAAATTTAACCCATTTGCAGTAACATTCTAAAGGATAACGTTAAAAATAAAAGAATTTTGGTAGATAGTCTTTCAGAGCATGATTCTGCACATTCTAAGGAATTATCAAAAATGCAGTTAAATCTAAACATACAGCTGTGATTATAGTTTATGAGTTATTAATAAATTATTCATTAAAAATAATTACTGATTAATACTCATGAGTCATGGAATATATTGAAACAATAATTTTGCTTATATTGTAATATTTATGCTCTAAATCAATCCTAATAAAAAATCAATAATTATCTAGCAAAAATGACTAATTTATATAATGCATAACGTAAACAATATTTATAATTTTATTAAGTGCTTTGATTTCTAATTTTCATTACATTTTTCCTGTTTTGAAATATAAATACTTTGCATTCTACAATTAGGTATAGTCACCCGTAGCAGCGAAAGGGTTAATATGCAACAATCTAATATAATTTCAATAGCATTAACGTTTTCTCTATTCCTTAAATATCTTTTTTCTCTAGTTGCTACTGAATTACCTGCCAATCTACGGAACATATAAAAATGTCCCGATCAAGAAAATGCTTAATGAACGCATTTAACAAACGCGTTTATGGTAATTAGACGTGGTCGAGCCATTGACGTTCAAACCTACCTTTTACAAATTGCCGCGTTGATTTGACACGCTTCAAATAGAAGGATACTACGTAAATCAGCTGTATTTAACCGTCGCCGGTTTTTACCGGTGTGTCAAAGCATCTACGATACACAGAGTGTCCATCAGCTTTGATTGACTCTTTAATTAGAGTCTTATACGGAAATCAAGCCGCTAAAGTAGTGCATAAACTTGTTATATAATCGAAATTACGTGCACCTTTCATGTATTATTGCATGCATAGATTCCCCCCCCCCCCCCCCCCCCCCCCCCCCCCCCCCCCCCCCCCCCATTTTTTGAGAATAGCAATAATTCAGTGATATACTTACAGGATATCTAACCTGAAATTGGTCAATTCGACCAAACAACACAAATACTTAGAATAACTGAGTAATAATAGTTTACACTTACCAGTTTCGAGATCAACAGTATAAGGAAGACCTGCCCATGGATCATCCGGCTGCTCTTCAAATTCCTTTGTATCTTTCTACGAATGAAAATCCCGAAAAATAATTGTACGTGTTAATTGAGTAAAACAGACCACAGTTAGCGAATTTAATTACCTAAAATAAGGCACTCTTAGGAGGATGCTAATTATTTAGCTAAACTTAAGAATGAATAGATTCTAACAATTTAAACATCAGATGATCCAGTAGTGCAAGTAGGGACAGGGGTGGTAGCGTGTCAAAAGGGTGAATTGACTAAACCATTAAGAAATTAAAAACCATCTGTTTTTAATATTTTTGAACATTTCAGAAAACGCTGATGGCAATAAATAAAAACGAAGAAAATTAGGATTAATATTATCACAATACTAATAAAGTTTAAAAAAGACTTTTTGATTTCCCTACAGGACAATTATAGTTGCGCTATTGAGATGATCTTACACTTTTGACCGGTAGTTAAACAACCATTCTAAAATTTGGAGACTTCGTTACGTGTCCGAATCAAGACGCTTTCTCGTTGATAATCAAAGGATTAGGAATGACGCCGCGTAACAATGGCTGAATTCAACTGGAAGGCATTCGAGTTTGTGAAGGTCGACGATCATAGAGACGTCATAATCAAGCGAAGCTAACGGCAACGTGAAAAAGAGTCGAAGGGCGTCCGTGCGGGGCTGGGACCATAGGTTCCCCATTGGCTGTGTTATATACGAGCTGCAGTGAAATGAGTTTAATGAAAACTGTATTGTACTCAATCATTAATCATAGCCGACTCTCTGATAGTGGCTATCCCAACCACTAGCTCTCTTCTCCCCTTCTTGCCAACCGCTTTTCATCCCTTTCTATCCTTGTCTCCAGTCTCTTTTCCATTCTGCATGATGTATCGTCGTTGAGTGCTGCGTTATCCCAAGATCCGGGGTTATGAATACAAAGTTCGATCAAACCTTTCACCCTTCGATCGAACGAATCGCGTCAATTCGAAACTAAGCGCAGTTGCAACGACCCCTGACGATCTACAGGACGATACTTTCGCTAAAAATAAAATCGTAAATGTGACTTTTTGGATTTGACGAGAGGGTATCCTTAAACGAAAGTAAAGTCTGATCGATTCGAACCAATTCCGAGGCACAATGTCACAAAGTGGCCGCCATTTTGTCCTGAAATTTCATCCGACAGAAACAATTAAGGAAGAGAAGGAGGCCAAACCCACTTCGGTTCGCTGGGCGCGTTTTCAATTTCCAGGACCATCAATACGTCCCTCGGAATCCCCCGCTGTGCTGCTCCAATCTCTCTGGCTCTAGTCTCCCCTCTCTCTATCTTTCTCTTTCTCTCTGGTCGTTTTCCACGGCCAACCGGATTTCTTCTTCCTCACCCTCGAGCCTTTTCCTACGAGCTCCCGCTTCATCGAGGACGCCCCCCAGCTCGGGGGATGCTATACATCTATCATTTCAGCAAACCTTCTGCATCCCATGAACAAATGAACGCTACTCCTCATTCCGATGCTTTTGTGAATGTATATACACGGCTCGTGATGGATATTCGAATCACCCTCCGGCTTGGAATCACTTAAAATTTTATTCGATGCCCCAAGGTCTTGAATTTATCCGGCGGTCTGGCGTAAACTTCGAACAATCCATTTTAGGATCTCCCCGTTGATCGGATCGAAGGACATAGTTGCGTTTTGTAACAAGATCAGAAGCGAGGGGAAGATTAAAAAGGCCGAAACAATAGTTGTCAATACGTGGCAAAAGATGCCGTGAAACGTTGGGACAGAAGAGGATTGAACTGACCCTTTGTTCTCGGCTGTTCGCAAACCATACTTTGGATCGATCTGTCTGCTTTCGATCGGGATCGAGGATCTTCCCCGTATTATTGAACCCTCGAAGACGGCGGCGTGTTCTCACAAAGGTGAAACCCATTGGAACAATACGATCTTCGAGGAGGAAGAGAGTAGACGGCAATACGGGAAAAGAAAGATGGAACCAGCGACTACCGATGCTTACGAGAGGAAGGGGGAAGGCAAGAGTTGAGAGCAAGTGAACGAAGAAGGATAAACGACGAAGAACAGAAGCAAAGAGAAGAGAAGAGAAGAGAAGAGAAGAGAAGAGAAAGAACGTCGAGAAGTCTGATGGGTTACCCGCCCAGAACGTCGATGCAACGTCATTCTCGGTGACCATAGTATGGATGAGCTCTCGTAGACTCGAATCTCTTGGATACTTAAACGTTCTTCGTGTCTATCGACCGAAACGCGTCCGACGAAGGAAATCGCCGATGAAAAAGTTACACAGTAAAATAGAAAGTGAATTAAATCAACCGCTAAAAGTACGATCATGCTTTGAATCGAAATTCGTTCGAGAACCGTACGATTAGAATTATTTTGTTTGATGGAAAATTTTGTAACAAGCAATAAATTTCCTTCAAAGATATTCTTGAGAATGTAAGAATCAGGAACGAGATACACGATTGGAGACGTATTTCCTAGACACGAACAACCTTCATAAGAAGCGAAACAGTCAGTTGAGAGATTGTAAAGAGATAGCCACCCTGAATGTCGAATTCTTTTACTAGTCGAACGAGTGGCGTCACCTTTGTTTGATGCCTCGCCGTTGACTTCACAAATTGATATCGATCTATCGACACGGATCGCTTGGTCGTATCTTTACGGGTATTAATGCAATCAAATCTTGAGTTTCTTTTTCTTTCATCGTTATCTCTGACAAACGATGGAAACATTGGATCTATCAGAAGGTTTTGTCCTTTTTGTAATTCTTCGACTTTTCTATCCCTCACTCCTTGCATAATTGCTAGCATTCGATCTCACATGACCCCAACATAGTTTGCCTTTGATTAAATGAAACAACTATTTTAATTCAAAATAAATGTTTATTAACATAAGTGAGATTTCTATTTGTGTATAACTTATGTGCGTACAGTGAGAGGCAAAAGTGAGGAGACACTGTTCAAAATAGAATATCTCGGTTAAAATTGGACTGAATAACCTGAGATTTTTTGAGAAGCTATAAAAATTAATTCACTAAAATATGTATTCTCATGGTTTTAAAAAATTACAAAGTAATTAAAGTCAAAATTAAACTAAAAAGTTTTAAAGTAATTAAAATTTCCGTAAAATTTCTCGATGAAATTTTCAGCATACACATAACTTATCTGAATCTACGAAAGACATATTTTAAATTTTTATTATAGACTCACATAAAAAAGTTGAAAAATTCACTATTTTTGTTCACGATTTCAACAAATAGTAATTTTTTAAAACGATGAAAATACATATTTTAGAGAATTAATTTTTATAGCTTTTCAAAAAACCTCAAGTTATTTAGTCCAATTTTAACCGAAGTATTTTATTTTGAACAGTGTCTGCTCACTTTTGCCTCTCACTCTATGTAAGAATGTTTTGAAGTTGCAATAACTTATTGGAGTAATTAACACATCCCCAAATACATTTTTGGTAAATATGCAAATTATTGGTGCCATCAGAACCGGATTAAGATTGAAGTAAAAAATACACATGAGGATTATAGCTGTCATTTGCAGGAATGTGTTAAAGATTAAAGATAATATGAACAGGTTACAATTACTATGGGGTTATTTCATAAAATAGCTGTTTCATGTTCAACTAATTATCCTGTTACAGTTAAGTCACTTAACACGGGCCATTTACGTCACTGTGGACTTTAGGAGTTTCAGTAAGAAAATGATGCCTTCATTTAAAAAAAAAGAATTTCTGACGTTTACTTAAGAAACTTCCGGAAAGTATACCTGAGAAATGCGGATTCAAATGGTATTTAAAGGGGGAAATGCTTCGTTCTTTAGACGTGAAAGCAGAAAGTAGCTGGTATTTAATAAACAATAAGTCGCTAATTGTGGTCTGTAAACGAGATTCAACGATTCGAATCAATACCGGTAGCGAATAAAACACTGGAAAAAAGGAATAATTTGACAAACCTTTTCGTTGTTCGAATTAATCGCTTCTAAAGCTTTTAGTTTTTCGATCTCATCGTCGGTTTCCTTTTCCGATGTGGATGGCTTCTTTGGAGAAGCAGTGGACTCTACCAATGGTGTGAATCCCAGATCCACGTCTTGTTTCCAAAGCACCTCGATTAAATCCATGTCCTGTAACAGAATACAAATTTAATTAATGTACTATAACTTATGCTAATTTAACTTGAAATTATTATTCATTAACCTTTGTACTTTCTTTAATTAATATTACCATTTATAATGTACGATCAGACATGTTGAAGTTCATTTTAACACCATGCCATTTAACCCTTGAACGGCGGAGTTATTTTATATATAATATTATTATTTTGTATACCATAATACTTTGTTAGGTACCAAGCTTATCTTGCAGGTATTAGCAACTCTGTTTCATAATCATAACCACAGTATACTCGCGTACACGTAATAGGTTAATTATTAGCTGGTAAATGTAGCATTACTTCTACGATATCGCGATAATCACTATATCTCATTGGAAACACGACGTACGATCCTTTTATATAAGTTAATAACGCTCGGTCTGGATCGTTGTTTGAAATTAAAATCACGATCAACAAGGCTCATTTTTGTTACGAACGAAATGTCCCTCACAGGGAATCCTATCGACGAGTGTGTACAAAAGTGCATGATTAATGATGGCCGAGTATCGATGCATCTCGAAATGGAGGAGATCGAAAGGAGAAGAAAGAAACCGGGGAGAAGGGACCAATCACATGACGGGGCACAATATCGTCGGGGCAGCTGGTCTGTAGCTTTTAATTGAGCCAATTTCGCCGAGTTCGTATTCAACCTCGTTAACTAATCTACAGATTTTCTTCGCTAATCTAAACACCAACGATATTACAGAGTTACATATAGGAAATAACGTGGGGATGTCATTTCTCACGTTTCACCCTCGATGCCGGTGATACCCGAACTTTATCGCGATAGGAGCCATATAGGGCCCGTTAAAAATACTCATTCATCTTTTATTTATTATCATAAAAAAATGTCAAAATTTTCAATGGATCTTGTACACTTGCAGTAAAACTTGATTATAATAAGGCACTGGTCAATGGGGTTCCTTTCTGCTACCCTTAAGTGGTACCATTTTCATAGCTCTCTGCTATTTGTTCGGGCAGGTGTAGGAGTAATTTCGTCCAGATTAATAGGTTGACGGGAATACGTAGTAAGGATGGATGCGGCTTGACACAGAGCCATTAATCTCTGAGCATCGTTATCGGGGATCGCAAATTTTAACACGGCGCATCGGAACCCAAGGGTAACGGATATGTTTCTGCATCACGCTCGATCACGGACGCGCCTTTGGAAATTACTTCACCGAGCGTGTAATTTGATGTGCCGGTGGAACAAGAAAGAAATGGAGGAGGCGATGAGAAAGAGAGACGCCGATGCGGCGTGGGTGTGCATACTGCCTCGTGTCGGCCATGTTGAAGAAACACAGCGGGATATCCGCCGCACCCACAGCTGGGCTACGTTCTTTTCGAGCCCACGTTTCATCTGGCACCGTTGCACACGCTCCAATGATATCGACGCCTTTAATTTTTATTCGATTAACCGCACGCCGTGGCACGCCACGGAAACACCGACTGGATGAAACGAAACGAAACGAACAACCCCTCCCGAGTCGTACCTTTTTCGCTATCGTGAATACGTTGCCATTTGTTCGAATCACGACATTGTATCCGGGTAAGAGAAAAAAGTGTTTACCTTTTGTCGAGTACAGAGTGTCTCGTGTAAATTGAATTTAACCCTTTGGCTGCTTAGTACTGGCTGCATATATACGTCCATAGTTTATTTCTTGTACATCTTAATCATAATCAATGCATGTTACTAATTACATACCATATGTTATCAGGTTATAATAATGTGATAAAACAATAAAAGGAAGAAATTGAAAAAAGAAATTGAGAAATAAAGGGAATTAAAAAAAGAATGATAGGTGTCATTGATTTTATTCTTATTTGGTAGACAGAGAACGTTTAAGCTTAGAGAGTACTCAGCAGTCAAAGGGTTAAGGGGATATACCTATACATAATTTCAAAATTTCAAATTCCCAAAATTCTAAAATTCTAGAAATCCATAATTCTAAAATTTCAATATTTTTAACAGACGTGTAAAAATTCAAGAACCACATACGCTGACCTAATCTTCATCTATTCATCACTCACTTGCCTATCTCTCATTCGAATATAAGAATGAAAAAAGAAACAAGAACAGCAATGTGCAACGACAGAATAAGAATCAAAGATTAATTATACCGAATAGTGAGTGACAGGTTGAAAAAGTGGCTTACTGATAATGAGTAATCTTTACAAATTTATCTGTAATCTCGTTATGGCATAACGCCACCTTTGCCTTTCTTTTCGCCGCGATTGTGCATCGAATCCTTTACAAAACAGCGCACTTCTTAGCCAGTGAACCTGTCAGAATGTACCTGACTGTGGACGATAAATAGTCCTAATGATGGTTCTACCGTTAGGTTGACCAGGTATTATCCTCAATTTTCACGCCACCCTTTCGCTCCGAGACAGAAAAGTACTGGCTGTTTTGTTCGTTTCTTTGCTACAGATGAAAAGTCCCTAAAGGAACTGGATGTAATGATGTTTTCGTTTAACAACGAAATCCGTTCGGTGAACATAGAAAACAGAGAAATAAAATAATAATTTGTTAATTACTTATGTGTCAATTTTAATTCTGAATTAAATGAATTAAAAATTTTATTTAAAAAAAAGAAATCGAAACAATATTTTAGTAATTTTCAATAAACTTCAAGCCTCAAATTGAGCTAATAAATAAATTGATATTGAAATTGTGAAGTGCGAAATTCAGCCAGTAACATCCAAGTGAAACATCCTTGGCAAGGATCTTTCCTAGCCGCTTGTAAAGTAATGACTTTACCGTGAAGAAAAGGAAGGAACCGTGGCAAATGATCTTCCGTAAATCCTTGTTGCTGTTCATAAATTACTTAGTATTCGTGCGGTTACAAGTGGCTTTGGACATTTTGCGGTGGAGATGGACACTGACCGCTAATGGGTCCCATGGGTTACGCCTACTAATTTCCTTGATTCTTTCCGGAAAGATTTGGAAAAGACATTTCCCTCAGGATTTCCGATGCGCTTGTGAAAAGTAATTTTTATCGCGATTTCAAGTCGCGATCTTAACACTTTGACAACCACCGTCAGGTATTTCAATGTTTAACTTTTTATGCCTTTTTTTTCTACATGATATTATTAATGCAATAGTAATATTTTTGTACTGTTTTTTTTATTTCTATAATAATTGTATACATTTAAATCTATAAATATAGCCTACGGTAAAAATGAGTTAATGTACGACAGATAATGCCAGTAATTAATTGAATTGTAAATTAATTAAATGTTAAGAAAGGAAACGATTCTTTTGAAAATCGTCTCGTTATACCATTGAACCGTTTGAATTCCTACAGAGTCGATTAAAAAATTAAGCAACTTTCTAAAGGCCCGAGAGAGACTACGTCTCGTCAAGAGGGTAGACTCAAAAGCATAAAGCATTAATTTCCTGGTTTTAATTAATGCGTCGTGCACGCAGCCGTACAGTAATGGCGGCTGAACCTTCGTACGAGGAGGGGATAAAGGAAGGGGAAAAGGGAGGCGCGGCTAAAAAGGGAATTTGATTAATGATCCTGTAGGATCTGGGACGAGGGAGCAAGGGTGGGATAAAGGGGAGGAAAGAAAGGAGGGAGGGAAGCATATCCTGGGGGACGGCTGTCTTGTTACAGAGCACCGATCACTACCAGAACATACTTTTACTTCACGGAATACATTTTTCAGATTTTCAGAAGAAATTTTTCTATTCGAAATTTTAATACTTCCTTTCGAAAGTAGCTTAAAAATAATATAAGATAAGATAAGATAAAATCGAGTAAGTTTGTAATGGATTTATAATTTTATTATTATCAAGTCAATCCATCAATTCGTGCGTATTTTATTTATTTTTTCTTACATTCTAAATCCCATTACAAAGAACATTGAATTTTATAATTTTCCACATTCTGTAAGCTGTGAACAAACTTAACATATGGACTGATCTGATAACTCCTAACATTCGCTACCCACTGCATACTATCGGAGAGGCAAGTTAGGGCGGTACGTGTACTTAGAAAAAGGAAAACCGACAGTGCCTTGGAACGTTCACCCCAACAGAGGCGTATCTATTTCTCTTTCTCCCCTTTTTCTTTACTCTCAACCCCCGTGCCACGATATCCCAGGCACGCTGCCAAGCCCACGTATTATGTATTCATCGCTTTTTGCTCGTGTACCGAAGACGCGTGAGCACGTAGACGAAATAAGAGAACGATGCCGGCAATCGTAATGGAAGGTGATAGAAAGGAACATTGGATCGACCACGAGATATTAAATCTTATTACAACTGTTAACGACTTTCAGATACATTTCATATTACTTGTCGATTACAATCTGGTTTGGTTAGGATTATTATGTCCTTACACTGAATTATACAGCACGTTTCAAAAATATATCAACCATCTAATATTTTAATGTTTCATTCTTGTGGTAAAAAATCATTGTACATTATCATTTATTGTAAGTTACAGTTCCTGGCCATCGAATTAAGATCACTACAAATTTTCAGCATTTTTCACGTTTTCCGTAAAATTAAAAGGGCTATTCAAATTGTAATGATATAATTTATTAGCTACTAACATAATACACTACTACTGTATATAACACTATTAACACATGTTAATATCTCGTATTTCCACCCTTTGCTTTGATGACAGCTTGTATCCTTTTCATATGCTTTTTATATCTTCGTTATTTTCCCAAATATCTGTAATTTTTGTTTTCAACTCAGATGATGTGGTGCTTGGAGAATCGTAAATAACTCTTTTGAGTAGGCTCCAGACAAACATTCGCACGGCCCTTAATGTATTTAGTAATAATTTGAATGACCTAAGACAATTTTCCATATATGACATACTATTACAGCCATAAAAGTGAAATTTTCGTACGTGGTCCTAATTCCATGGCCAGGGACTGTATAATTGAACAATGATTCCTCTTCTTCAACACGATACGCAAAATTTCCTCTCCAAGTATTATTATACCTAT